ACAAGACTTGCTTTCGGCAAACAGTTTCATGCTGACCACCCAGACGTTGCATTGGACTGCCTGTACAACGCTGATGAGACGGGAATCCAGTACGACATGTGTCCGAGCATAATCTGGGCTGTGCGTGGTGGTGGCAATTACGTTGCGAACTCCGAAACACACTCGTACCGCATGACTGCCCTACTGACTGTGCGCGCCGATGGTGCCAAGTTGCCAATCTTATTCGTGATATGTGGTGTGACTGGTGGCACGATTGAGACGAACGAGTTTGCCGACTATCCTGAAGGGCGCTTTTACGCCATGCAGGAAAAGCGTGGATGAATGGAACTGTATGGAAGTTCTATTTGCGTGATGTGTTGGCTTGTCACATTGAGAATCCATCAATTCTTCTCGTCGACAATTTTGATTCGCATGTCAGTACTGAAAGCGACACGATTGTTGGTGAAGAGCTTGGGTGTCAACTGTATCCGCTATCCCCCAACAGTACATCGCACTGCCAGCCTCTGGATGTTTCGATCATGGGCCCGTTCAAGCAGCACCTGCGCGATTTGTGGGTCTTGGATGTATCGACTGCCACGACCGCTAAAGAAAAGCGAATCGTCATGATTAAGCGTGTCATTAAAGCATGGGACATGATCAGTGAAGCTGAAGTTCGTTCTAGTTTTGTAAAGGCGTTGCCAAAATAATTTTAGCCCAATTTGTTTTTTCACAATTTTATCTTGATTTTTGTATATAAAAATATGTTTTCTGACTGGGATTGAACTCGGGACCAATTGACTTGACCGGTACCCTTATTTTGCACAAGATTTCAATACGGACATACCGGAATTCGTGGAGTGAGCATTGCGCGGCTCCCTATCCGTCTGTTCAAGGGAGATAATGGGGGGAAGTTGTGTATTCTATGGCGTGTAGATCCATTGACCCATACCGTATACTTTTTTTCTTTACTTGAATAGAGTATTAAATTATACTACGTAGTAGTATTTTTATAAGCGGTCATGTCACATTTTGTTGGTCCCCATGGGGCGTGCAAATCCACAGTCCATGTGTCACAGCGATGTAATGCAATATGTGTAATAGGCCAATTTTATGACCTTGATCCCTTGTGATAATTAGTTTCCTGCAAGAATGAGGACTTGAAAACCATGGCATGGATGTCTTCCTAGTACTAATTACTCTTTATATTCATATCCTTTGTAATCTTATATCCAAATCACATTTTTTTCATTCGATACTTTTTTTATATTTTGGTTTTGTGATACTCAATTGGCCAATTCGAACCGCCTCTCTGTCCAATCACTAGTCCTCATCACGCCGCTACTCAGCGTCGTTCCCTGTACGCCGTAGTAGTTTAAAATTATGGCAATCCACAGTAACATGCAGCGACTATAACATGATGACAACTAGTATAATAGTACTAGTACTACGTAGTGCATGCACCATCACCCGTTCAAGTTGGACCTTTTCCCAATCAATGTGGTGACATAATCCAAATTCTATCCGGACAATCTATAGTTTTGACGACCCCACAGGGCGACGGTAACCGATGCCCGAATCGGGCTTATATATCAATCCGAACCTTACAAAGCCGATGTCGTGCGCGTACCAAACCCATCGATTACAGCACACATTTCAACCATGACATCGTTTTCTCAGTTTTTCCTTACAAATGCACAACGCTACATATAGTTATATTCGTATCGATCAACCCTATTCCCACAACAAGCACTTCTTGGACGGGTTCAAGGACGAGTCGGTGGGGCACTGGAACACACGTGAAAACTCAGCGTTGTTTTGCAACGCCCCTGTCACGCGGAACCAATCGGGCGGGTGCGTGTTCGTTAAACTCCCGAGGAGCAGGTCATCCGTGTTCTTGGAGCATTGGGCTTGGGCGTACGACAAGTAGAACAACTTGTTGCCTGCGTCTTCGGTGTACTGGGACGGGAACTCCTTCAAGTACTCGTGGTACGCGCGGAAACTGGTCTTCAGCCCCCCGTTGTCCGCAATGGTTTCACCCAAAGCGATCTCGCCGCTGACGTTGCCCAACACAACGCCAGTCAATTCGCTCCTGACCTCAAAGTTGGAGTATTGATCGCTAAAGCACTGGGCTTTCGCCTTGAACGCATCGTTGGTGGCATTCGACCACCACGGGTTCTTGTTTCCGTCGCCATCGTAATCGCGGCCGAAGTTGTCAAACCCGTGGGTAATTTCATGTCCGATGACCATCCCGATGGCACCAAAGTTCTGGGCGGCGTCAAACTGGCCGTCAAAGAATGGTTTTTGCAAAATGCCGGCCGGGAACACAATGAGGTTCTCGTAAGGATTGTAGTTCGCGGTCACTTCCTGGGGGGCCGAGTCGAAAATGAGCCTGTCCACAGGTTGGCCCTTCAGCTTTAAGTTGGTGTCGATGTTCACTTGAGACACCTTCCACTGGTTGTTCAAAAACGACTTCGAGTCAAACGTCAGCGTGGGGTACAGCTGCGGCTTCTCCGGGCCACCCAACAAGTGTACAAACTTGGACAGCTTCGTTTGCGCATTGGCTCGGGTCGATTTGTCCAACCAGTCGGCGGTGGCAATACCAGTGGAGAAGGACGACCTCAAAGCCTTGACCAGTTCGTCGGCCGTCTTGGCTGTATCAGCCGACCACACCGCGTCTAAGAAGTACTGGCCCAAGAGATCACCCACGGTCTTGCCCGTCTCAGACACGCAGTACTTTTCACGAGTAGGTTCCACCGTTTCGAATTTGACCTTCTTGCCGAACAAGTTCCAGTTGGCCGTGCGGAATGCAGGGGTCAAGTGGTTCGACGAGGCGTGGATGAGCTTATACTCCACGATGGTGCGGAGGTTGTCTAGTGTCGTGTTCTTCAACAACACTTCGGCCTTATCAAAGTAGGTCAAGTAGTAAAACCCCACCCAGTCGTTCGAACCACTCGACTGGTCGCGGACGTCGAAGCCGTTGGCCTTAAGCCACGAGCCGACAAGCAGCGGGTACTTCTGGTCCAGTTGGGAGTACGAAAGCGCAGTATACGGAGACCCAGCGGCCCCCACCAACTCGAGCTCGTCGAGGGCGATACTGGCTAGAGTTTGCTCGAAACGGATGATCACCGGCACGGCAGCCGCTGCTTGCTCAGCAGTGTAGCCAGCTAGCTGCAACACCGTCGCAATGTACACCTTGTAGTCGGCTTCGATGTAGTACCACTCGGAAGGAATGAGGTCGTTGGAATAAATGATGTAGGACCAGCGATTCAGCGGCAGGGGGGCTCGGAAACCGAAGAGGGCGTTCTTGGTCGAGTCGTTGTAGTCAGGTCTGGACTTGATATCCACGAAGGCAGGGATGCCGTTCTTGGCCAATTCACCAGCCACGATGAGGAGGTCCAACGTGGTGTTGGCCGACCGAATGGCTTTGAACGAGTCCTCCAGCGGAGTCAGGCCGAGCGACGATAGCGTAGCCGTGTCCAAACAGGAGTTGTAAAACTCACCAAGCTTGGTCGTGTTGTCAGAGAAAATCTTCCTCAATACGGCTTGGTTTTGGATGTTGATCTCGTAGAACGACGTATCGATTTTGTGTCTGTCCGGGGGTATCACAGCATTCTTGTGCCATGTGCCACACGCATACCTGGTAAAAGTCGTCGCAGGGGTTGATGGAGTAGTCGATGAGCTTGGTCACAGACTCGGGGAGTTCCGTGACGGAGCCAGCCATAGCGGCAGCGGCCAACACGCTGAGGGAGATGAAGACTTCGACCATCGCAGAGCGAAGAGGAAAATGAAGTTGGCCAAAAATATAAATCATTGAAGCGAAGACCAGGCGGGCAACCAACGCAATCAACCAGGAACATTATTACCAAGCTACATCCATCAATCCAGTCGACATGTGGAATAAGCTTACCGTTGTGATTGGCCTTCGTTAGGAATTAGTTCCAGTCGTGCGGTGCCCTGCATCGATAAACTACTACAGTATTAATAGTACCCATTAGGCAATTCCAACTGTCACGTTTTATAGTTAGCTAGTTACCTATAACGTTAGAAAAGTAGTACAATAATAGGTGTCAAGTAGAGGCACTTTGATACATACTAGTACAGTAAGTACCTACTACTGTACTAGTAGTAATTCATTTTGGCCATCACACTTTTCCAATTTCCTTAAATTAATACTCTGGATAATAGTGCGTGCATGTCTTACGGAAACTATGGGAAAACGTTCAATAAATCTGGATACCGATCAGCCAAGACTGCAAAGCGTTCAAGCAAATTTTCTTCCCGTAACCCTGTAACCCCGGGACTTCGTCCTACCCCCGCGTGCACTTACTTCAAAGTATAATGCTAAATCCCCTAGTAGGAGTTGAGGTGGTCAGAGTACAAAAAATATGCCTCATCTAAGTAGAGTTTATTGTATTAATCTTGGTTGAACGGTATCCAGATTTATTGAACGTTTTTCAGGGTTTGTCCATGTCGTACTAGCGGTAGGTAAATAATTCCCTCATTAAAACAGTTTCACTGTTGTTTTGACCCGAAATACTGTTTCAATGAGGGAATTATTTCATCCGGATACACCTTTTCTCCAGTAACCCTGTACCGTCCTACCCTGGTGAGTACACACGATGCTAAACCCCTAGTAAGAGATGAGGTGGTCAAAGCATACAAAGTTCCTTATAAATCTCATTGAAACTGTATTTCGGGTCAAAACAACAGTGGAACTGTTTTAATGAGGGAATTGTTGACCAGTAGGTGCACTAACTGTTACCAACCATCAAGAGGAGGGAGTCAGTCATACAGTATGGACAAACAGCCTGTTGAAAACGTCAAGTCGTGAGAGAGGTTAGGATGACTTTTTCGGTTATTGTAATCATCGGAATGAGGGCAGGGAAATCACAAAATGCCTTAAACTTATCGACGGCCCTGTGACCAACCACCGATGGCATGAAGCGGACGCGATTCAGGATGTACTGGTATTATTGCGAGTAGCTACATGTACATGGGGCTAAACCTCGAACGGCCTCATGACGTGGAGCAGTCGTGTGAATTGTACTCCATGCTATCAGACTCACATATCAATTTTGTCGGCTTGCGGCGTGCGTAGGTTGAGTGTGTCAGCCTACGCCCCAAAGTTCCACGTACTGTATATCATGCGTAGGTCGTGTTTCGTGCTGCTTCTGTCCTGTAAGACATCTTCTATAGTCGATACCGGTATATATGCACTGCGTAGATATATAATGAACCTTGCTTGCGGTACCAACGGATGGCTGAATGCGCAAGGGGATTGATCACTTACAGTGTACATACCAGTGGACCCAGTGAGCAGTGTGTGTGAGGTGGCAAATTGAAGAATGACGACATTGAAATGTGTGGTTGGCCAAAAAAAAAATCCAATCAAAACGCAATATTTCTGGAAAGTGATGGGTTGAACAGGAGCATGTTGCCTCGTATTGCCTGACTCTGATGAATTAATACTTAACTAGCCTTGCTCTGCAGGTACCTTATTCACAACTAACACAATGATAACGAGAGGAGCTGATCTAGCTACGTAGCTGTATACTGTATCAGTTCCTCTCGTAGTCACTGTGTTACTGTAGTTGTGAATACTTTACTTGAGAAGCTAGTAAGCCCATTAATCGTCCGCTTGACGGCCGAGGAATCTGGATCGAATAAGTGGTACTCAAATTTCATTGGCTATAAATAAAACATATGTTTGTCCTCCTCCGCTTCGTTTTCGTACAAAATAGCTCCGCCAAATCGTCGTTTCCATCTCCACTTCTACCACCACCCACCCATACAGCAAATTATGCTGGGGGGTTTCACCGGTGATAACCACTCTTACAAAGTGCTGCCGTGGATGAACACAGCAATGCATACAACGGTGAAACCACCGGTGATAGCAAAGTATCGAAAACTCTATAACATTATATGTACCTCTAAAAATAGATCAAAACGGTTGGACGGACCACATGCCGGATAATTGACACGCATTCATATGCAAGCCCGGACATGGACGCAGTGTACGACAGTTGCTTGTTGCAATGCAACCGATGCAACACCCTTGCACCATGGGAGCTGTGAGCGTGTGCAGAGCAAGACGCAGTAGATGGTAGAATCGAGAAAATGAATTCATAGCGTTAACACTACTACGCTATCACTAAGCTACGCGCAACCAACCATCGATGTATCGTCGGAGGAACACCTTGGTTGCGCAAGAGGACTTGTTGGTGTGCGAAGAGACACCTTGGACTGAAGGGGTGTCGACTAGTCATCCGGTTAGTGACCGGATGATGGACACGGTTACACCCTCCCTTACTTAAGACAGAACGTGCCATCAGCGCGTGGTCAAAACGAGAGGGAACTTTGGCGTGACAGTTGAGGTTGTGATGGCAGACGAAGGCAAGAAGTGCAAGGCGAACGAGATCGCCGAGGATGCCGACGACAGCGTCGAAGAGGCCGAGGCGCCGGCGCAGCAAGTGGAGGTGGTGGACCTCATAGTTGAGGTGGATGACGACGACAGAGTGGCGCCGAGCGAGGACGCGGCTAAAGTGGCACGGCGTAAGGCCGACTGGGAGGACAAGGCGGCCGTGAAGCGCGAACGGCTTGGACAGCTGGAGCAGCAAGCGGCTGCCGACTTGGTAAAGAGCGCCATGCAAACAGTGGGCGCCAAAGGTGTGCAAAAGCTGCTGGAGCATCACTTGGCATGGGAGGAGGCCGCCAAGAAGGCAAGAGCGGCCGAAGAGGTGAAGGTGAAGGCAAGGCGCGCCGAAGAGGCTAAAGCGATTGCAGCGGCTGCGACGAAGGCGGCAGACGAAGCAGCCAAGGAGGCTGCGGAAGCAGCGTGGAAGGTGATTAGCGAAGGTGTGACTGGGACACGTGTAGGCGATGGGGTCATCCCAACGCTATCGGCGTTGGGGGAAACGAAATGAAGGCGAGCGGTGTGGGAAGCGCCGTTAAGTCTGAGGCCAAAGTGAAGGCCGAACTTGTTGAACCGGAGTGGACCGGCCTAGCCCGAGACGAAGTGTTCGACCGAGAGTTGGGCTTCCACTGGGATCGCTCTCAGATCTTCACGTCTGCCGGTTGGGGTGGCGTGAACTTGGAGTATGTGCGCGGCGTTATGCGCCATTTGACTGTGGTTTCGGGGTTATGCGCCATTTGACTGTGGTCCGCGAGCTCGACGAGACTCGCGAGGATTGGGGATATCAGGTGGCCAATGCCGCCGGCGTTGAACGGTGCCTGTGCTTGTTTGCAATCGTCCATTCGTTTGAGTTCCGGGTTCTGTGGATGCTGCTTGCCATGGAGTGCATGCAGCTTGTAAGGGTGAGTTTTCACCGGTTTGATGAGTTCAAGGCCGCCATGCGCGAGTTGCATGAACGGGAGCGCCTGGAGCGCTGGACGGTTGACGTGGGGCGGATCGAGCTTTGCAATGATGAAACATTGCTGGAATACATTGTAGCGTTCGTGTGGACGCTGGTCGGACAAGGCAGTGGGCGGCATGGGCAGTTGCCGCTTACAGTGGGGCGGTTGGCCAACTCGCTATCTAATTTCACGACAGAAGCATGGGCGTTTGGACGCACGGTCTGTCGCGAGGATCGCCACCCGCGTAAATATGCGGCGCAGGCCTGAGGTAAGTGTTGTTTAACATAATATTCTGATTGCCAAGTTGTAGTTGGCCTGACTCGCACAGCGAACTGCCGACCCGTCGCTATCCATCGCGATCCCGCGATCGCGCTCGCGTGGACGTTCGAGATCACGTGGGCGATCGGCAGTGGCAGGGCGCTCACCCCCTCGGAGGCAAGCGACGATGTCGGCGGCGGCGCCGGTGCAAGGGGTGCGGGTGACGCCAAACGGGTTTTCGGTGCTCCTTGCGAGCGCCTGGTCGAGCGTATGGGCTTCGCCGACGGCGAGTTCTTCGACGTGGGCGCGCGAAGATGCGCAGGTGGCGGCGCGATTGTCGGCGGCGCGGCCGACGAATCCGTTCGCGGGGTACAATCCGCCGTCGGGACCTCAACAGGGTGGTCAATTGACAGCGGCGGAGCGGCAAGCAGCCGCAGATTATCGGGCGCGGGCGATTGCGGCGCCGCAACAAGTGGTGGTGCCGATGTCGAGGACGGCGACAGCTGGGGAGTCGGAAGAAGAGGAGAAGTCTGAGGCGGCGGCAGAGGAAGAGCCCCCGCGGGATCCGAAGGATCGGTTGCCGTCGATTCATCGGTCGTAGGAGTAGATAATAACGGTCGAGCTTGTAGTTGGTGGGACTGACCACGCGAAGAATGGCAAAGGGGCCGTGCCAAGCACTTCCTAGCTTGACATTGGAAGACATTCCAACCTCTCGTGCGCGGAATGCATGGGCGGGCACCGCCGACTTGTGGAGGAGAACTTGTTCGCCCACGGCGAAGGACGCGAGGTTAGAGCGGCCATGTTTGTTGGCTTGAGTTGATTGGCGCTGTTGAGCGGCAGCGATGTTGTCATGGATCTGTTGCATAACAGAGACGCGACGGGAGAGGAAACTCTGAATGGTTTGGAGAGTGCGGCTGGGGGCGTTGGAAAGTTCGCCCGCAGGCCGCGCGGTGAGTCCACCCCCACTTGAGGTCGAACCGTCGAGCATTGGAGGGAGGCGGGGGTGTTGGAGATGGACCGCATAATGCGGCGAAAAGCCAGTGGACGCCTGAACGGAGGCGTTGTAAGCGAAGACCGCGTGCTGTAGTGTGACAGCCCACGAGGAACCGGTAGAAACGGAGTAGCTCCGGAGGATATCTTCGAGGACGCGGTTGG